ACTTTAATATTGCAAAAGTGATATAATTCTAAAGATACTAACTGAGCTAATATTATTTTTGAAAGATTTTTCACTTGGGGAAAAAAATCAGAAACAGTAGGGTGAATTCCTGAACCTACTGAACTCCTGTCAAAATTATCATTAACTTCAGTTGTGCTGCATGTGGCTTGTAGGAATTAGTTCTGTTATAGTATTTATTTATTGTAGTTTTCAGAATGTGTCTACTCATTGTTACACATATTTGCTTTTTAGTAGGGTAGTAGTCTTAATTTAGAGGAAGTCCACTGTTTTCAGACTAACGTATATCCATGTGAGCATATATACATATATATATGAAGATATTAATATCTATAATAATCTGTCAGTGTTATGGTTCAGTTATTTTTGACAGATTTATTGATTGTGTCTGCTGCAAGCATTGTTTTTTTACTGGAAATTGACACCCACAATCAAACAGGAAAGATGGATGCTGTAAAAATTGCAGTTTTTCAATGATTCTTGTAATTAATCCTTTTGCATTGACAGTTTCCAGGAGCTATGTTGCCAGGAGTGGTCTTTATCACTGGACAATTAAGCAACTGGCTTGAAAAAATAATGCTGTTTTCGGAAACTGCCATGTGATGTTCGAAAATAAATGGGTCTGAACTGTTTTCTTACTTTGGTTTTGGCTTTGATTAATAGTCCCAGATGTGCTTTGTTTTAGGTAATCTCTGCCTGCTTTGGCTGTTAGTGTCTATTATAGGGGACTGTAGCCACGCACAAGCCCAGTGTGACTCTCTTGCTAGTGCTGCTCAAGGTGCTATAAAAAGACGGTGTTAGCATTTGGGCTTTCCTGATGGTAGTAATGTGACCACATTTTTTTTTGAGCCTTGCCTCCCCATGGGAATTAACATGGAACTTGTCAGAGTTTAGGTCCTCCAAGATCTCCTGCTATTTGTTTTCACTGTAACTGTTGTTGACATCTCTCTAATATTAAATGAACTTTTCATCGTTGTAATGAGTCCTGCTTCCCCTCTCCCCTGGGCAGCCATCTCTCTTTCGTGACATCTCGTCGTAAATTGTTTTGGAGTTATTTTGATTTTATTGCCTCGTACGAAACGGTAGAGCTCATTCATTTTTAGCTGCTCTGTGTTGAACAAATACACTGGTTATGTAAGTGGACCTAGAAAATAAGAGAATGGGGGATGTCACGGAAGTCTGTCTATAAATGTGCTGCATAACCAAACTTTTCTAAATGAAGCGCTGCAGTTCTGCAAGTGAAATAAAGCAGTAGCTGCTGAATGCATACTGTAAAGACAAGTCTTATAAGGTTCTTCATTTGTTGAGGTTTCTTTGCATTAATTAAAATTGGGAAAAACCAAAGTATTTTAATGTGACCTTCATTTGGCATTTGTTTTAACTTTTCTTCTCCTATTTTATTTAATTCTTCCACTTCTGTTGTTCAATTAGTGTTTGACCCCTTTAGCAGAGATGTAAATTAAATGACATTTCAATGCCATCCCATATTTAAAATACTGTGTTAGTTGTGGATCATAAAGGATGATCTTCATTCTTTAGCTAATTTATTCATTTAACAATTTCCCTCCAGAAGTTCCAGCAGAAGGCTCTGAAGCAAACTAAGCAGAAGAAATCCAAGTCGGCTGAATTTCTGATGGGTGAGCCTTGCTTGATGAGTTATTGCTCATAATTTGTGTAAGGATTAATTAACTAATTACAGACAAATGGCTGTGGGCGAAATTTTGCTCTTGCTTGTCAGGGTGCAATTTGTAATTATTTTAATCATTTATTCTTTTTTTTTTTTTTTTTTTTTTAGAGTTAATTTTAACCTAATTCTGTTTTGGCGACATTTGAGGACGATACACTTGAGTCTTTCAGCAAAGGAATTACTATAAGGAATTTTCTGCTTGTCATTGAAATACACTTTGCTATAATGTGCTCTTCTGACCTCCTTGTTTTCTGTAGCAAAAGAAGAGAGAGCAGTAACAGAAGGCATTGAAAATCCAGCTTTTAACATCAGCAGCACAGATCTTTCAGCATATCAGCCTTCAGAAGAGAAAGTTATTAGACATGACAAGCCAGATAGCACCCTTGCAGCTCACCAACAAAAACTCCGGCTGCAAGCCCATGCTGAACCAAGAGGTGAGACATCAAACCTGATTAGCCTCAAACGCAGCAACAGTGGTTGTGTTCCCCATCCCTGTGGCGGGCGTTCCCATCCTGACCTGTCCAAACAGGTGCCCCTGCAAACCCTGGATGGGAAACCCAAAATACTGCTGAAGACATCAGCTTTCTAAATATTTAGAGACCCGGGCTCCGTCTTCATGCTCAAATGACTCCCCATAAGGGGGCAGGGGTAGGAGCGATGCAGGTTGCATGGTGTTCCCCACCAGTGGGGGGGAGCGCAGGGAGAAGGCTCTCATGGCAGTGCTTCCCCATAATTCGTGTTGGGTTGGGTTTCGGAGGCACCGCAGCTGGTCCGAGCACACAGATGCTGCTCCCTCGCTGGCTCCCAAGCATTGAGTAGTTTTAAACAGCTTACAGATCCATGATTGATTGTTGTCTGTAGGTCTCCCATATGCCCTCAGTCAATCAGCATCTTGCCTCTGCTTCGTGTCTCATTATTTTTTTCAGCCAGTGTTGCTCAGACACTTGGAGCAGAGTCCTGTTTGCTCGGCTTGTCCAGGAGGAGCGATCCTGGCTTTTAAGCTCAGCTTTGACGCAGCACCCAAAAGAGACGCTGCCTCAGGAAACAATCTCTGTTTGTTATTTAGGTTCATTCAAACAGACTAGAAGGATCTTTACTGATGTCAGCTTTTCTTTTGCAGAGGTTTGATATCTTTTGATATCCTATTGTTTAATTACTTAATTTTGAATTATTATTACTGTGGAATGTTACAACGAATGGTTATTTTCACTTAGTAATCCAGTAAGGAAGAAGGTGAGGAAAAGAATTTAAAGGCATCTGGTGAGCTATATGAGGAAAATCCTGGGCCAAGATTTAAGGTAAAAGCAAAAATGCCTGAAGTCAGACTCAAAATCTTCCCTAAATACCCATTTAAAAAAAATTTACCTTATCTAACTGCGTGGTCCCATTAACTTCAAGTGGACTGTGTTCATCCATGAATATGTAAATGTGCATCCAAGGTCCAAGACCTCCCAAGGTACCAAAGGAACTGGTATGACTTTGAAAAGTCCCGATCACCCAGCATTTCCTGTTAACTCTCACAAGCCGTGATGCTGTGTGCTAAGTGCCCTTGCGTGCCAGCCCCGGTATTTAAATGGGCAAGTGCAGTCTGGTGAGCAGAACTTCAGGAATTCACTTTTAAAACTCTGGACCTTGTTGTGTTAAGATTTTATCCTTGTGGGACTGGAGAGCCCACGGCTCCTAATGGCCCCTTGCAAAATTAGGTTTGGCTTTCCATTTAGCCTTCATGTGACTGTGTAGTGCCGCACGGAGCAGGAATTCTTCGTCTTTCCTTTGTAGCCTGTCAGAACAGTGATTAAGCAGACAAAGGAATTGATTGTTTTTTAATGAAATAGTCTATCTGGCAAAAAACGAAGTCGGGCTTGCTGGAGACTATCCATGCTTTCAGTCGCCTCTTCAGAAATTCATGAATAGTTCCCTCAAGAAAACAACACATTTTTTTAAAAGCCTGAAATTTGTTTTTAAACATTTTGATTTTTCATCCTAAGTAGCATTTTGTTCAAAAACCCCAAACTGAATATAATCTTTGTGAAAGGAGTAGAAATTATTACATTTTGCCTGGAATGCAATGCCTTGATACACTGCTAAGTGTTTCTGTAATGGGAGAGGAAAGCTTGCTGAGAGTTGGAAAATTTTGTTTCCCAACACTGTGTCTTCTTCCTTGACCTTCTGTTCATCCAGTTAACCAAAAGATCAGTTATTCATGTAGCTCTGCCTCTCACGCAGCTATTAAAAAAGAAAAAAAAAACAAACCCTCATCCATTTATACGATCATAAAAAAGTCTAGATTGGAAGAGACCTCTAGAGATCATCTAGTCCAACCTTGCATTAAATTATTCTTAGTCTAACTTATGTCAAGACTTGTTTGGCAGTCATAGGGGCCAGTTCAAATTTATCAAGGGCTGCTAATAAAACAACAGCTTCAAGTCTGTCCAGAAACCTGGGAAAAAATTGAGCTAAACCTTCTGGTACCTCACAAGCTAATTTTCCCAGTTCCCAAGTGTAACAATACTTCATTAAAGAGGGAAAGGGAAAAGCCAACTGCATAGGTAAGTGCAGTATCACACGAATGTAATAATGTGTAAATGGTTGTATTTCACAGTCCTCAGTGGAGACTAGGTCTACAGGTAGCTTACCCCTTCTTGTGGCAATCTGTTCTGGTTTGGGACTGCCAGAGCCCATGGGATTGGTTCCTTGAGCCTTCCTTCCTTTGCTTTGCTCCATGTTCATAGCCACTTTGCATACCTGCTGTCATTTCAGCTCATAACAAAAACACACGTGGTGTTGAAAACTACCATGATCCTATAGCACAGGGGAAACTTCCACAGCTTCCTCTCCTGCCCCTCAGCTCTCGGGAGCCACTGCGCAGTTCACAAGAGAGATTTTAGCACAGAAGTCTGCTTCCCCCCCACCACCCCCC